TAATTTTTAATAAAAAAACGGCGGAAACTTATTTGTACACCTAATATATATACATACCTATCTCTCGTTTTTATTTTCTCTTGAAAAAGAAAGAGAAAGAGATGTTGACGGACAATAAATTTATGTAAGTAGATGGGTAAACTTCCGGGCAAAAGTCCGAAACTTCTATCGGTAAAGTGGCATCATTTTTCATGCAAATATTAAGGCTTTATGCAACGTCAAATCGGTTCATTTCGTAGGCGTCATTAATTATGCGATTACATTAGATAGTTTCGATAGCATATATATATATATATATATATATATATATATATATATATATATCTGCCTTGATTAATTATGTTATCCAATAGAAAAATGTCTACCTCTTTTTCTTTTTGTAAATATCTGCAAAAGTTTTTTTTTATTCATAGGAGAGAAGAAAAGAGAAAGGTGGATAGAAGAAAGGAAAAAAGAAGAATAGTTTTTAAAAGATAGAGAGAAAGATAAAGAGAAAGAAGAAAAAAATTATTATTTCTTGAAAATTCATTGAAGGTAGTATCGAGGTCAACGTATGCACGACTTGTCTATAACGTGCTAGATTCGGTGTAAAAATTTCATTCTTTCTTAGAAAGCTCGACAGGATAGAAGGCGACCGCGAAAAACGCAGACATCGCGGAAAAACCTGTTTGAATAATTCAAGTCTTTCCACCAGGGGCTAAGAGTTGAGAAAGAACGAAAGGGAAAAAGAGTGGAAAATATAGAGAAAGAGTGTCGACGAATAAGAGCGTGCCACGAAATTTTTATCTCTATCTTTCCGTACAATCGCTATTTCGACCTTTCCTCTTTCGTTACACTTCTAGTCTTTATAATCATTTTATTTTTATCTCTATTTTCTATAATATATTTCATTTATATATTTATAATGTACATTTCTATATATAATTATAATATATTCAACTTATATATACATATGTGTGGCAGTAACTATGACAGTAATCTAACAATGAGTTAAATAATTGTGTAAGAGAAAATTGATTTTAGGATTTATTTTATAATATATATAGATATACATATAATTGTGATATAAAATAAATCAATTTTAACAATTTTTTAGCTTACAATATTAGACCGCTGTCATAATTACCAGCACAGTAACTATGACAGTAATCTAAGAATGAGTTAAGTAATTGTGTAAGAGAAAATTGATTTTAGGATTTATTTTATAATATATATATAACTGTGATATAAAGTAAATCAATTTTAACAATTTTTTAACTTACAATATTAGACCGCTGTTATAATTACCAGTACAGTAACTATGACAGTAATCTAACAATGAGTTAAGTAATTGTGTAAGAGAGAGAAAATTGATTTTAGGATTTATTTTATAATATATATAGATATACATATAATTGTGATATAAAATAAATCAATTTTAAAAATTTTTTAGCTTATAATATTAAACCGCTGTCATAATTACCAGCACATATTTCAATTCTCTTTCTTATTTACCATAGAGAAAGAGAGAGAGAGATAAAGAGAGTAAATTACTTTACCTTTCATACACCCCGTTATCTACTCTCTATAAATTTGATTTAAAATATTGGAATATTATTTAACGTAATATTATTTATCTAACATAAAATATTTTTGTATTCGTAGGTTTGATAAATGATAAAAGCGTGTAACAAGATGGACGATCTGGAAAAATATAGATATAGCATGGATTCATACATTCATATATACATACATGAATTCACAAAGTAGATCAGTTGCGTTTTGTGAAGAAGGAACGAACATAACGGTGAAAAGCGACGATTTTCCTGGAAAAATTTTCAACGCACGGATCTTACTTGATAGTAGTGCAAGGTGAAATATTGAATTTCTCAAAGCGTTGATACATGCGTAGATATATGTGTATGTGAGACTGTGTGTTTCTATAATACTGGATACCTTTATACACATATACGTATAAATATCTAAATATAAAAATATACATATATGTCTATATATATATATATACATGTATATACATACATGCACATATATGTACATACTCATATATATTATATAAAGTACATGTATTCTTTACATTATATAGTAGCACGATTCTCAGGGCCTTTTTTCTTTAGCGTGTCTCTCGTATCTTGCTTCTTCCGCTGTGCTCATCGCACGTATGCCATACAATAGGCACATATGGATTACAATGGCTCTTGTCATACGCGCCATACATACTCACGATGTTCATGATGCCAGGATTTTATGAAACAGTCGTCGTCGTCGTAGTCGTAGTCGTAGTCGTAGTCGTAGTCGTATTCGTTGCAACCTGACTATATATAATAAAGATCGATACATCGATCGTAACACCTTGATCGTCGTCTTTTTTGTGTTGTGAATCGATTCTCGGGAAGTCTATAAAACAAGCTATAAACTGGGGAAGATTTTCCTCCGAACACGATACGCCTATTTTCGTCTTCTTTCTTCTTTACCTGTATGTGCTACAATTCTCTTTGATTTTCTTTCTTTGAAATATACGTCTATGTTTATATAGATATAGATATATATATATTTTTACTATCTCTACGATATGAGAAATTTTATATGTTTTTTGTCTATTTATGTATGGGCATATTTATTATATGGAGATGTATTTAGGAAATATTTTTTTAAATTGCAAAGTTATTGAGAATATTTTAATTTATTACTTCTTTCTTTTTCTAAATATGTAATACGATTTTCTTCTTTTATTATTTGCTTTCATAGAAATATATTATGTTGTGCATGCATAAAAAAATCTTTTTATTATCATATACGAAATGAGAATTTTTGTTACTTTTTCTATGGTATAATAGAATACTTGTATATATTTTCTTGAATATTTTGTGTATTGTAATTATTTTAATTTATATCTCTTTTTCAAGATAAAATTATTATTTAATGAATGTTCGACCATTCAAAACTCTACTGTATACGTTTTTACGTATATGCATATACATGCATAGATGTATTAGAGTCTTTACGGATTTTATAGAAATGGCAAAGGCATATAGTGGTTTATTCATCGTTCAAATAAATTATGAGAATTAAGGACTTTGAGTAAACCCTTTTTGAACTTTTAGAGCGTGATTTATTTGCTCGTGAATAAATCCTCTATATAGTGAGAATAGTTACAACTTTCTTATATTTATCTTAATAAAATATAACATAGTATATATATCTAAATAATATATTATAATATAACATTAGGTTGTGTGTTAGGAAAGTTTATGCAATTTATATTTATTAATATACATTGATTTTTCAAAAAATCAGCACAAACTTCTTTTCAGCACCCAATGCTTATTTATACCATTAGGTTGTTCGGAAAAATTATGCCGATTTATAAATATATATATATATCAAAATATAATATAGTATTGCCTTGAAATTTCTATTTTAAAATTGATACGATTTTTTTACACACACACACACACACACACACAATATATTATATAATTTATTATATTTTATAGAAATATGTTTATGCGAAAATATTCTATTAATTACATCAGCTCATCTTTATAAATATATATTAACATTATCTAATATGATACGTTATCAAAGATAATATCAAGATGATCAATTCGATGCTTATTTTAAAGGTGATAGGAGTTTGGTAAAGTGAGAGATGGGAAGGAACGAAACTGGCAGGTTGGTGTCGTACACGCAACGAGGAAACTGCTAAGACGTTTCTTGTATCTCTCTCTCTACTATACATACAAACAAGATCTCTGATGGTAAGACTGCCTAAGGTTGACAGCTGTCTGAGAATTTTCACTGCGACAACGACGACGAAGACGACGAGAACGACGATGACGACGACGACGGTGCTATCTCCATAGCTGGATCAATTTCCTGGATCCCTTTCGTGTAAGAAGGACAAGATCCTCGAGGTTCTTGCACCACGTTATCGGAAATTTTCCTCTTCTTTCTATCCCAACCGTCTCACCAATCCATATAAATTCGAGAGTACACACGTACACACATTTTGATTTGCTCGAGAGATGAAAGGGAACGAGATAGATCGAAAACACAAAGACGTTTTCTAAGAGGTTGGAAAGAATTTAAAAAGAGAACTAAAGGAAGTTATTATATCCGCGTAGACTCAATTATTTTTATAGTTTATTATATTTTTATAGATAGTTATTATGATTTTTAATATTCCATTTTTGATATTTATTCAGATTAATATTAATTATATATTTTTCATTAATCTATTTTACCCACAAAATTATATTTCAATGTTAATTGATTAAAAGAAAATTTATATAGAAAGAGAGATGAAGAATGGATAGATAGATTAACTTATTTTCAAGTTATAAATTCTCTTTGATGTAATTATTATTATTATTTTCCAAATATTTCATTTTTTTAATATTATTATTTATACTTATGTTAGAGTTTTCTTAATATCAGTGTTTAATTACTTTAAATGAAATATTGTTCATGATCTCTTAACACAAAATATATTCATTCGATATTCTTTATAATTTATTTCAGAAAGGGAAGAAAGAAAAAGATATAAAATTAATTTCACACAATATTACAAACGAATTGAACTCGACATTGGACCATAAAATAAAGAAAGAAAAAAGAAAAAAAAAAAAAGTATCCTAATTGAATATTAATCAACTTTACTTGGTCTCTTATAGAAATATTCAATAATCTCGCGTAGTGGCGTGCCTTGGAAAAGCATATTAACACGTCGACTACGTTTGGAACGTAATCTACGAGTTATGCATCTTGCATCTAATTTATTTTCCATTCAGCTCTGGTTCCTCTTACATTTAATAGAACACGTCATCGTCATTGCTAGATCCTATCTTAAGATCGTATCTTAATTTCGATTTCAGGTGAAATATACTAGTTGAAGAATAGCTAGCTACCTTGGTTACCCAATTCGAGAATAAACGAAGAAACGAAGGAATGAACGAACGAACGAACGAACGAACGAACGAACGAACGAATGTTGCCATTAGCGGTCGAGTGCATTCGAGTTTGTGAAAATGTAAGCTAAAAAGAGAAATACTAAGAAACTGTGCAAAATAGAAAAAGAGACTTAAAAAGAGAGAAAGAGAGAGAGTGAGAAAAATATAAAAAAGGAAGATGGAAAAAAGAGTAGGATAAAAGTGGGGAAAAATAGAGTGTAAGAGAGTATGAGAGAGACATAGAGGCACGTGGAGAAAAAACTAGAACAAGGACGGAATTCGTCGAGAAGTGGTAAGAAAAGAAAGATGAGAGAAAGAGAGACAGAGAGAGAGAGAGTAAAAGGGGTTTAGGACTGAAAGAATGGAGGAAAACAAACGTAATAAGATAGGAGAAGAGAGGAGGTGCGAATGCACAGAAAACAGAAACTCTGATGCTAAGATGAGGGGAATATCGAGAGAAAGAGAGAGAGAGAGAGAGAGGAAGATGCAAGACGGGGTAGAAAGATTGGAAACGGAGAAAAGGACAGGTATAGCTTACAGATGGAAAGGGAGAGCAATAGGGAAGAAAAGGAGTAAAAGAAAGAGACAGATAGATACAGAAATAGTTAGAAATAGAGAGAATGAGAGGGAACAAGAAGGGCTTGGGAGATGGAGAGCTCTCAGCAAATTGGAGAGCCCTGGCCTTTTCTATTGCATGCCCGTTTCCATTCGCACGGAAACATCGGGGTCCCGCTCTCGTCTTTCTTTTTTCTTTATTTCTCTCTCTCTCTTTCTCTTTTCTTCCATCACTTCCACCCTTTTCTTCCTCAACATTTCTCGCTACTTTCGTCGCTCCTCCTCTCTTCATCCCTCTTTCTTTCTTCCTTTCTCTTACTTAGCTAGTTTCCCCTCTCTATTACTCTTTCCGTTTCTTTCTTTCTCTTATTTAGCTACCTTTCTATCTTTCTTTTTTCTCTTTCTCTCTCTTTCTCTCTCTCTCTCTCTCTATTTGTTTCTTTCTCTTACTCTGCTTTCTTTTTGCAGAAGTTAGAGAAGAGTCTGGTCTGGCAACGAGGGTCACTTATCGTCGCGGACCATCTGCGAGTATCGTCCACAGTCAGCGCACTGTCGGTCTGAAGTATGTGCCGACTTCAGTGCCATCCGATAAGACTTTTCGTATCAGCGTACCAGAAGAAAAAAGTCTTTTCTCCTTCATGTGGTCAACGTTTACTTCCTCCTCCTACTCCTCCTCCTCTTTCTATTTTAATTTATTCTCTATTTCTTTCTTCTTCTTATTTTATTCTTTTACTATTTAACAAATTTCGAATATATAATAGATACACGATTTTTTGGTTCATTGGCCAGCCGAATGAACGAGACCGATTATTGTAGATTGGTGAAAAGAAGAAAAAAAACTTTCTCTTTCATTTTTACTCTCATTCCTTCTCTTTTTTTCTTTCTTTCTATTTTTTTTTTTTTTATATTTATATCTAAGGGAAAGAGGTGGCAGACTTTTTCTATACTCTCTCTCAGAAAAAGAACTCCTTTCTTCTTTGGGTAGTACCTCTACCTACCACCCTTCACCTTAAACTTCCCCCCATCACCTCTCTTCTCCAATGCAACCTACCTTTTCTTTTTCACCTGAAACTCTTAAACTCAACACGCTTTCGCTTTTATCCAGGTCCACGGAGTGTAACATTCTATTGTAAAGGAGAGTAGTAACCATAGTCTCAGCATAGTCTACTTTTAACCATTCTTGAATCGAAAGACGGAATCGATACTACCATCCTCTTCTACCTCCTCCTCCTTTTTCTCTTCTGCTTCTTCTTCTTCTTCTTCTTGAAGAAGATGAAGAAGAAGAAGAAGAAGAACATCACTGGCGAGTGGCTCCTACTGTCTTCTCGCCACTGTCTTCATTAAGTGTTCCGGCTGCTCCAACTAAATGAGTTAGTCAGTCTCTGCTCTTTGGTCCCGAACCTTGATTGCTTCCAAGGCGTTCTCCTTTTTCTTCAATGAACTACTCCACGTTCTCAAGCCAAGATATCCTTTGTCGTGGCTCAACGCATCAGTCAGAGTAACTGGTTATTCCGTTCCTCTAGTAAGGACATTTAACCTTCTTCCTCTCTCTCTCTCTCTCTCTGTTACTCATTGTCTCCTTCTCCCTGTTTTTCTCCTACTCTCTTTCCCTCTCTCTCTCTGTATTTCTTATTATTTCTATCTTCCTCTTTTTGTTAAAACTTATAGGTCCTAAATTATAAGAGTTTTTTGGTCGATAGGATAGTTTACAAACAAGTTGTCTTCAACAAACATTATTCTTGTTTTCTATTTGGAAGAATAAGAATATTTTGCCAATAGAATTTTGGGAATCGTTCGATTGGATTTTTTGTATAGTTTAATAGAGATTTATTTTTCTTTTTGCTATATTTTATCGTATGCTAGAAAAATTAATTGTAAGACCGCAACGTGAATCACTTTACCTGCCTTTTTAATTGATTTCTTCACACTTTTTTTTCCTTTCAACGAGAGTTATACTCTCCTCCTCCTTCTCTTCATTCTTTTTCTCAGCTTTTATTTCTACTTCATTTCTTTTCTTCTTCTTTTTCTTATCGCAAATGTCATAGACTCGAATTTTTTTACTACTATATTTCTAGAGAATGTAATTTTCATTATTTGTGCTCAGAAATATAAATCAATTATTTTTACGATCGTTTAACAATCATTTGCAATATTTATAATGTCCATGCAATATAATTTAACTAATATTTAAACAACAGTACAATATTTTTAAACGTAAAACAGTAAATACTGTTGTTGTACACAGATAACAAAAAGTTATTATAAAATTATTTTAAATTGATATTAAAAAATACTTGAGTAACATTATCGATACACTATATCGAAACTTTCTTTTTCGTTCAGGTAAGCTTAATTAATTTATATTTTCGATTATTTTATATTTATTTAAACAATTTATGATGTACGTGGAGTATAAATAAATGTTTTATATACTCATACATTATTTTTAATATACATTTATGTTTACAAATATAGCGCCAATAAATTAACAATTAATATGATCGCTGATTGGTTACATGGATAACAGCGTTGAGTGGGTACATAGATCCTATACACCGAGCTTTTAGACAACAACAGATACTTCTATCGATTAATTAACAATTATTTTCATTCTCTAATACACTCTTCTTATATTTCAGTTTGTTTTAACACATATATAATGGTTAAAATATTACATTAACCTATTAATGTATTTTAAATAGAAAATAATTCCAAAACCATATCAACAACCAAAAATTCGATTTAAAAAATTTGATTTAAAATAGAACAGAATACCTTAAAATTATTATATAGTATAATCTATTCGCATTCTGAATTCCCATTTCAATATCACATATGATTTTCTAATTTCGAATCATACACGCGTTCCTATATTAATTCTCTATTTCATTCGTAGAAACTAATTACCTCATAATGTTTTTTAATATCTTTTATATTTTTATAAGTATTATTGTTGAAATTTAATTTTTATTTTACTTTGTTTCAGGATATAATATTAATTCTAATACAAATGTAAAGAGAGACCGCGCGATTTGTAAATAACTTTTATGTATTTATAATTTTTATTTTTAATTCTAGGCCAATAGCAGTTGCGATCTATAAAAGAGACTTGCACTCGATGCATTCATTGCATCTTTACAATTCTATGCAAAATTTTCCAATCACATTCTTTTCATATCTTTTGTACGAACTTTTTTTATTGAAATCAAATCTAATTCAATGACTCGTTTAAATCGATTTATTCTAGCCTTTAGATTAACACATAATAAATATACATATTAGGATTGATTTACTTATTTGAACGTTGAATTGCTGCAAACGAATAAATCGTTTATTCTCTCCTCTCTGTTTAAAGAAGTAGATTGGTCAGGTGGACAGTAAATAATCTTGGATCGCACAGTGAAAGATCCTTTGAGGTGTCGTTCTACTTTTTCAATAGAAAAAGGTTCAACAAACTTATCCTGTTTGTTATAACCTACGTTCTATTCTTGTTGCAGATCGTAACTCCGGTATGTACGTTTTTCCTTCAGGATAAACTTCAATATTTGTCGTGGTAACGATGTAGAAGATTTTTTATTTGATTTATAAAAAAGAAATAGAAATATAAAATAGAGAATAAAAAAAAAAAAGAAAAGATAGGTAAGGGCCTACGTCTCAGAGAAAAAAATATTTTTATATATAATGAGAAAATAAATAATTAAATAATAAATATAATTATATATATATATATATACACGACCTTCTTTTTTTGAGAGAGAAACGTTTTTAAAAAAAGGGATAGAAAAAGGAAATAAACTGCAATGCTTATCGGATAAAATCGAGGAAGCGTACCGTAGTACCTGCTCGAAGGAGATGATGCTAGAGATCTTAATGTTTGTAAGTTCGACTAGAGAGCCCAAGTTGAGAGAAGAGATATATAGTAGTGTTAGTGGAAAAGGAAATATAGGAGGAGAAGTGAAAGCGGGGTAGTAGAGAAGGAAGGGAGGTTAAGCTTTGTAAGAAAGTTTATGACTAGTAAAACCAAGTTGAAATTAAATTATAAATTTTCTTATTATCCGACAAATATGGCGAACGATGCATCTTCTTCGACGCTTTTGATCTTGTTTAATGGTTTTCATTCGGTAATGTTTTATAACTCTTCGGACTTTTGAAATATATTACTTGACCGTAAGACCAAGTTTATCCTTAGTTTCACAGATTTTTCTTATCAGTGATTTATCTCCTTTGTACTTATAATGTTTATGTATTTGTTTGTATACTCGATGTATCTTCGAGAAAATTAATTGCATTAAACTAATATTTTAGAAGGAAGTTAACGATTTTACAATTATTATTATTATTATTATTGTTAAATTATTAAGAAATATTAAAGGATTCATTGATCAAAGAATTTTCCTCTTTTTCTTTATATTTTTATAACCTAAATGAAGAAATAATTGTCTAATCTGTTGTATCCTCATTTTTCAAGACTATCAATCAAAATGAAGACAATCTGCATCGATCTTTATCGTCATTGGCATTTCCTTTCGCTTGTATATCAAAGAATAGAAATAGAGAAAAAAGGATTTTTGTTGTATATTATATATATAAAAAATATGTACATAGAAAAAGAAGAATAATCGTATAATTTGAAAACAGGAAAATAAGTAATGGCGAAGAACATAATTTTACAAATAGACGGTAGATCGTTCGAATAGTCGTAATAGAAAAGTCTCTACGATGTTATATCTACTTGCTCGCTACGATACATTTCTCTGATTTCGTATCCCGTGTATCCCGTAGGAATTCTATGTACAACGTTCCTCCTCTATCGTTCTTATTTACTCTCGACTTTCGACCCATCGTCATCAAGGTCTTACCATCGCGATTTCGTCTCGCACGACTGAATTTGTCCCTACCATACGAAAATTTATCTCTGTATTTCTATCTCTGGAAATTCTAACAATATTTAGCAAGTTGATTAAATAATGGGAGAACGAATCGTCTTGCTTGAAAATGTATCTAAGTATTTTTTTTTTTCCCCACTTTTTTTTTTTTTTTCTTTTTTCTAAACAAAATTCTTAAAGTTAGGACGTACAATTTAGTAAATTGAATACTTCACTCGATTGGATGCTACGTAAACGTATATATACGTAAATACAAATTGGTATTTACATTAAAGTTAAGTAATCAATTGGAAATAGAATATTTGTCGGAGCTTTAAAATCATTTGATTTTAATTTTATTCATTCGATATTTATTTAATGCAAATATCTTTTTTTCTTTTTTCTTCTTCCATTCTCTTTCGTAAATTGAATTTTACGTATGCATGTAATTATTTAATAATTAACGTAATACTAGCGTTTTCGATGCACAACGCGCGCGCGTGTTTCTCTTTAGATCGTAATAGGTGCAATAGATAGTATTGGAAGATTCTCAGAGAAGATGGTAGTACGATCTCGAGGTCGGGACTAACATAAGTCTTATCCATTGGGAAAGGAAATTCGCTTTGGATTCCAACAAACATGGTTCAGTACATTTGACTTGATGCTTTACATAACGTCTATCTTTTTCTATCCTTCTCTCTCTATCTCTATTCAGATCTGTTTAATCGGATCATGATTCCTCACGTTTAATATTAATGATATTAATATATTATATTCATACAATCCTCAAAAGTATTATATATTATAGTGTGTATTCGTAGAAATAATTCTTGAAAGTAGGCAACGAAAAACGCCTAAAAGTAGGCAAAATTGTATAGACAAAAAACCCCTGAAAGCAAGTAAAATTGTGTG